AAAATGTCCATGCTACTGAAGTGATCTATAGATTTAATGTATTCCCTATCAGAATTCCAAAATCATTTTTCTTTGCAACAGAAAAAACAAATTCTAAATTTCATATGGAACCACAAAACCCCCTGAATATCCAAAGCTATCATGAGTAAAAAGAACAAAGACCATGGTCCTAACATACAAATAGACTCATCGACTGATGGAACAGAATTGGGAGCTCAGAAATGAACCACACATGTAGACTCAACTGATTTTTGACAAAGATGCCAAGAATACACAATGAGAAAGAGAGAATCTTCAGTAAGTGGTGTTGGGAAAACTATTTATATGCAGAAGAACAAAACTTCTTCTGTATGCTTATCTCACACCATATGCAGAAATCAGCTCAAAATGGACTAAAGAGTTAAACTTATTTGAAACTGAAAAATTACTAGAAGAAAAGATAGGAGAAAAACTACATGACACTGATCTGGGCAATAATTTTTTAGATTTGATCCCCCAAATTGTAGGCAACAAAGGCAAAATCAGACATATGGGGTTACATCAAAATAAAAAGCTTCTGCAGAACAAATTAAACAACAGAGTGCAGAGGCAACCTATGAATTGGGAGAAAATATTGTAAGCCATACATCTGATCAGGGATTAATATCAGAAATAGATAAGATATGTATAAAGAACTCAAATAACTTTATAGAAAGAAAACCAATAATTCAATTTAAAAATGGGTGACTTGGCCGGGCGCAGTGGCTCACGCCTATAATCCCAACACTTTGGGAGGCCGAGGCAGGTGGATCATGAGGTCAGGAGATTGAGACTATTCTGGATAACATGGCGAAACCCCATCTCTACTAAAAAATACAAAAAATTAGCCGGGTGTGGTGGCAGGCGCCTGTAAGTCCCAGCTACTCAGGAGGCTGAGGCAGGAGAATAGCGTGAACCTGGGAGATGGAGCTTGCAGTGAGCTGAGATCGTGCCACTGCACCCCAGCCTGGGCAACCAAGCGAGACTCTGTCTCAAAAAAAAAAAAAAAAAAGGGTAACCTGATAGACATTTCTCTTAAGAAGACATACAAATGTTCACATTATTCTTTAAGACTAAATGTTATGAAATGTTCTTTCTTCTACCCACCTTTGAATGTCCAAATTCTGCCCATCTTTTGAGATTTAACTTTCATGTCACCTGCTCTGTAATGCTTTTCTCAATCTACTTATTAAATCCTCTCCTACTCCTTTGAATTCACACAGTGTTTCTTCCAATTCCTGCTTAGAGGACTTGATATTTCAGTCTCTGCTCTTGGGTAGAAAGCCAGCCTCCACTGTTTAAATGTAAGCTCCCCAAAGCAGAGCCCCATTCTCAGTTCACCATGGCATTGCCTACAACGTGCACCCTGGGCCTTTCTATGCACACAGCAGGGACTCAACAAATTCTCATGGAGTAGGAGATAAGGGTCTGGAGCCTCCAGGCTACAGCTTTGGCTTTCATTTCACCTTTTAGAATGCCAATGGCATCATCTGGGATGAGTGGGTTCTGTTGGCATCTCAAAGAGTTAAAGGAGGTGGTGAGTCATCAGGGCTCTCAGAACACTGACTGGTTCCAGGTGACTATTTAGAACAGGCAGTCAGAAAACTAAAACAGAAAGAAATTTTTAAAAAACGCCAACCCTTAAACTCCTATTTTAAAGCGAACAATACAACTCTGCAAACTATGGAGCCGAACAATCCCTCTCATTATTTCAATGAAACCAAAACAGACATTTAAACTCCAAAACAACAACAAAAAGCCCCAGAGCCCCTAACCTTCCTTGGCCGTGTCAGGCTGCTTGCGCAATGACTGCAGGGCTCTCTAGGGACCCATGAATTTCTAATTTGAAGGGGGTTATTTTCAGCATAAAGCGGTAAAGTGGAGGTGAATGGGAGATGGGAGAGGGTTGTCAAAGGGGAGACAGTTTCACAACAGTTTCAGAGATGGTCAGATTTACTTACTTTCTGCATTAGAGGCAGCCCTGGGGACAGTTAATAGAAACCGTTAACACTGACATAAGGCAGAAATACTTTCAAAACAACATACTTATTAATTTTTTATATTTGGTTTAGTTTATACAAGCTTCTTATATATAAAACAATGGAATAATAAAGACTGATCAGCTCCTAGAATCTTAAATATTGTAATGAACTATCCCATTACCTGTTGCTTTGCCGCCTTGATTCATCCACAACCACTTTCATCCTATGTGTAGTTTTGCCAAAATAAAAAAAAAAAATCCCCAATCAATCCCTCCTCCAAATGGTGAGATCATTATCATTCCATTTGTAAGCCTACCTCTGTTTAAAGTTATTGGTAGAACTATATCCAAAGACAGCGAAAACAACTCAAAAACCCTTTCAAATAGAAGGCTCTTCTCCAAAACTTTAACCTCATTTGTATTAGGACTTTACAAAAAATTTCCATTCTTTTTTCAGTGATTTTCTATTCGAGTAAACTTTATTCATTCTCCAAACAAAACTCTAGTCTGTCTCAATAGCAGTATCAAGGGAGGAAAAGAGTTACTGAAAGTCTTGACTATAATTATAAGGAAGGAGAGTGATTATAAGATGCTGTGGGGAAGAAGAATTATGAGAAGGGAGATGGTGTGGGCAAGAAGACATAGAAATAGAAAAGGCCTGGCACACAACAAGGGGCTGGGCAGTGATATCTGAGACCATTTATGCGTGGGTACAATAGTGTGTGTCTTTGGAAAAGGCCAGTAAACAGAGGTCCCCTTCTATCATAAGCCATGAGGTTCTAACATGAGTACCTATTTTATTTCAGCAGAGATGCCAGTCCCATGCTCTCTATAACCAACAATGTCAATTGGGGAAATTGTGGGGCCAGGGAAGGCACTCACTGTTCCTTGTCTCCATGAAAAGCCTCACCAGCCACCCAGGCACCTGGGGGCCAATCCTCACCCTTTACCCCCAACATCCAATCTGCCACGAGTCCCTGTCCACTCGACCTCATAAACGCTTCTGATGCCCCTGCCTCTCTCTTATCATCTCTGTCCTTCGGCCTGGACAGCTGCCATAGCCTCCTAACTGGTCATGCAGTCTTAGCGTCCTCTGCAGTCCTTTCTGCCCATGTCAATCAGCCTGTTTTCCCAGCCTTTCACTCCCCAGATCCTAACCACACCTGGCTTTTGTACTTCCTAAAATGCTCCTTTCCACCACAACGGCCTGGAAAGCTATCCGTGCCATTGATTCTCTCTGCTTGCAATATTCCTTCTAGCCACATTTCTACCTTCACCCCACTTTTGGGATTTTTCTGGTCTTAACTGGAGGTTGGGTTCCTGGTATGTGCTTTCTCAGTAACACAGATGTGTATTTCTGTAATCGGTTGTTCAGTGGCTCTCTTCCCTGTCAATCTGTACATACTGAGGTCAGAGGTTGTATTTGTCCATGTATGTTTTCCTCTGTAATATGGAATAAAACAAGAACTTATAGGATAAAGATTAAATGAGTTAATCCAGTAAGAGAACTTAGAATAGTACCTGATGTATATAAGGACTCTGTAAGCTGTGGCCATAATAATACTAATTAGCACTATGCCTAAAACGAAGGATGTGCTCTATAAATGTTTGTTGAATGAAAGAGGAATGAATAAATGAATAAATCATTGAATTCAGCAATCCAGATGGCCCCCTTTTCCCAACCAGCAAAGATGTATAGAAAACTATCACAGGGAGGAATTATGGATCTTCATTGTCTACTGCCATCATGATAAACGGTAAAAACAGCATGCTTGGTGTCCTGGGTTTTCTAGTTCATTCTATTGTGTTGCTGAAAAAATATTCAAAGCAAGGAGATATGGAATTAAGAGATAAAGATTTGTAATGTTACAAAATATATTTCTATGCTTCTCAATCTTGTCTTAACTAAAATATGTGCTTCTTAGTGAGCACCATACTGCTTAATTATTCCCAGGCTGAATCCTTCAGAAAACCATGTGTGTCAGGTAGTCCATTCCAACACATGTTTATCCAAAAAATTTCAACTTATGTTGCCAAAAAGGGAAGGGCTTTACCCATTTGTTCTAGGACATTCCATAGGTCTGGTTCCTCAATGTCTTTAAGGGAAAGGCATCAGTCACCTGAGTGCACATCATGCTCTGCTGGCCTAATAGAAACATACGCGAATGAACTTGGGCTCCCAGCACAGTCACTGTCTCCTGCTCCCAGCAGGACACTGACACACCTTTCAAAAGCTGGAAACAGGAAAGGTGCCTCTGAGTTGGCCCAACCCTGCCAAATGCTATTATCTGACAAAGTTTTATTAATTTATTGTCACTTAAGGATGTGGTAATATTATTATTATCATTATTATTTTTGAGACAGAGCCTCACTCTGTCGCCCAGGCAGGAGTGCAGTGGCCTGATCTCGGCTCACTGCAACCTCCACTTCCTGAGTTCACGCCATTCTCCTGCCTCAGCCTCCTGAATAGCTGGGACTACAGGCACACGCCACCATGCCTGGTTAATTTTTGTATTTTTTAGTAGAGATGGGGTTTCACCATATTGGCCAGGCTGGTGTTGAACTTCAGACCTCGTGATCTGCCTGCCTTGGCCTCCCAAAATGTTGGGATTACAGGTGTGAGTCACCGTGACCAGCCCGGTAATACTTTTAGATAGTTTTCCTGCAGATAGTTCATCTGAATTTAGAAATAAACACTGATTGTCATCATATCAGCAATATCGGATCTTATTTGTTCCCTTTCTCTAAAGTTAACTTTTTTACGGTTACCCTGAACCCATCTATTCTACCACTGAATTCTGTGAAAATTCTTACTTGGTTCTTCTCGGTTCAGTCATCAGTTTGGGAAACTGGTATTTAATTTAAGACAATTGATAGTTATAAAAAATAACTCTAACAGATAAATTGTGTGAGCCTTTGTCCCGATACATTTAAAACTAAAGGGTACTACATCAAAATCCATTACAGACAATGAGAAATATTGGAAATTTAGTCAACTGACCTGTTTTCTTGTGGAGCAAACTGGATCTGTTCCCCAAAATGCTGAAGTCCTGGGTCTGTGAGGGAGCTGAGGATAGTCGCATCCTTTGACCTTCTTCTGGGTTTCCCGGGGGGAAGGGTGGGCTCTGGGAGTGTCTGAATTCACGTCTATCCATACCAGCCAAGTGGAGGGCCTCCTGAGCTTTCTTCTTTTCTTTTTTTAACATGTTGACCAGGATATCTGAAACTTGACTTAAGGATTGAATGACTGATGCTAGCTTATAGTAATCAAAACACAAATGTCCTAAGTGTCATTAATGTTCCTAACATTTGCTATTTATCATGTGGTAAAGACTGACTGAAGGAAGGCTTCAACTTCCTGAAGCCCCATATATAGGTATGGACAATTTAGGGGACATTCTTTCAATATAGCACCATTATATGAAAAATTAGCAAACCCAAGGTCTTTAAAATGTTCTGAGTGTAAACCAGGTACGTCTTCACAATCTCATGAAAGCACTTACAAAAAGTCAAATGAAGGCTGAATAGTAGTAGACAGTAGGCTATGTATACATCTTCAAGGCTGAATAGTAGTAGACAATAGGCTATATATACATCTTCCCAGATAAAAGATGAATTTATTTACATAGCCTATGTATACGTATCAGCCCCCTGGTTGAGCACGCACCTGCTCAGGAGGCAGCAGAAGAGCTGAAGGGGAGAATGGCGAAACCCACCCAGCTGGCAGGTCAGCCGTCTTCATCCTGGTGGCCAGTGCAGTGACAAAGATGCAGCCAGAGTGCCCCAAGCTCAACACCTGCTTATGTAGAGTACATTTAGATGGGGGCTTTTTAAGCCACTAATGTTTGGTCTCAAATGGAACTGAAAAGCAGCAAATTATTAGCATAGACATATCATTTTAAAATGCACCTTTTGTGGGCCATTGAGATATACCAGGACCATTGATGATAAAGGATAAAACCACTCCCCTCTACCCCACTTCACTGTTCATTCTGGGTTCAAGATGCCTAGAACTCTAAGAGATTTTTGTCCAATCCACTAAATGGAAAGACTATAACCCCTATTGAGAATCTCAGAGCTCTAACTGCATATGGGGTAAGATGAATTCAATGCCTTTGCATCGCTAGAGAAGACTCATTAAAATGGGAGTCTAAATGTGGTCTGGTGTGGGAGAGAGAGAGCACTGCTACTTAGAAAGCGGGAGAGGTACCCAGATGATATTTATTCTTGGACAAGCAGCATGAAGTCATATGACCTTCACCTTCCTCCTCAGCTTTAACTCCCAGTTGGTGATTTCTGGAAGCATAATCAGTTTTGCTCTCTCTGATGTGGCTTCCATTCCTTGCCCCAAAACAACAGGTACTTACCAAAAATGCTCACAGCTTCTTAGTGTCTAAGAATTAACACGACAGAGAAGAACAGGGCTCTGCCCCAACACACTGCTCCTCTTTGTATGGAACTGATTACCAATGTCATCACATACTTCCATTGGTTCACACACTGTGATGGCAATATCCACTGACTCACTCATTCAGTGATATTTGTTGGAGCTTGAGCTATAGATGCCAGGCCCTGTTCTAGGCATCGGTATAGAGCAATGACAAGGCAGACTAGTTTCTTGCTCTCATGAGGCAGACATCCTACTGGGGAAAGAGGTCTCACACATGCACGCATGCACACGCACACACACACACAATATCAGAATGCCAGATACCTAATGTGAAGAAGGTCAAGGGTGACTGGGCAGCTGCTCTATATTGGGTGCTACAAAAGGCCTAAGAGTGACCTTTAAGGTGAGATCTGAGCCATAAGAAGAACCAGCCAGAGGAAGAACATCTATGCAGAGGAGATGCTGAAATCCCTAAAGAGAAACAGGCCCAGCAGTGGCTCCCAATGCTGCAGTCCTGTGATCCCACATCCTACAATGCACAGGACAGCTCCCGAGATGAAGAATTATCCAGCCACAAATGTTGATAGTGCCAAGGCTGAGGAACCTTGCGTTAGAAGAACAACAAGAAAGTAACTGTGACTGAAACCTAGCACACGTGGGACGAGGCATGAGAAATGAGGTCCGTGGGGGAGGGGATGGGGTGGGCAGGGCAAGATCCCCCAGGCCCTTGTGAACCAGCGCGAGGAGTTTGGTTTCATTCTTAGTATCATAGGAAGCCCCTTGAAGATTTGAATCAGAATTATGATGCGTTCTGACGCACATTTCATAAAGATCACAATACGAATCTATCTTCTGTGCTGCTTTCCTTCTTCTCACCTTTCCCCTGTCTTCTTGTCCTCCCCATTCCCATTTATGGGAATGGCCTTTGTGCCAAGCACTTTGCTGGGTCATGAATCCCCCTGTCATCTATTTTGTGAAGGGGTGTGTGAACTTTATTCAAGCTGAGGATGTCACTGACAGGACAACATTTTCACTCTCTTTCCAAGAAGATCTGATGTTGTTCGCAGTCATTTGGGGTACATTACTGTCTTTCATAAACTCAATTGTAAACACTTTATTTCCTGGAAGCCATATCTTTCCCATTTGTTGTGTCACAGTCTTAGCCTTCTGCATTCTACAAAGAAAGATATGAAAACATCCACCAACCCGACTCTGAGTAACGATGAGATTTCAGGAGGCTTTCTTGGTTGTTGGTCTTTGATAAGCACAGCTTTGAGAGGATTAAATCTTAGCTGCTATTCTTCCTTCTTCTGAGCTTACTCATTGTCTTCATAGTCATAACTCCAATTACATCACACTCTGCAGTGCTCAAAGCATTTATGGGCTTTTCTCAGCAGGTCTTATGGTCCTGCTCCTGAAGAGTAGAAAGCAACGTCACTGAGTAGGTACAGAGCTAATAAATGAAGAGCTAGGATTTCAATCCAGGTATGAATTGAAGTACAGTATTCTTTCCACTCTGACTCCCATACACCATCATTTTGAATAAGAGTCTCAGATGGAGGGAGCCCTGTTTGAATTGCTGACAGTCAGTAAGGAAGCTAGGGTAGCCTCACATGAACGGCAATGCCTGGATTCACCGCAGTGAAGGAGGGGAGGTGATGGATATCTCTCTTTCACTCTCTTTTTAAAACAAACATATAGGAACAAGCTTGGACTGTTCTCTCTCTGTCATACCTCATTTCATCCCTCCTATATGCACAGATATTCATAAGCCCAGAAGGGGATTAAGAAGTTGGTAGGAGTATTTAAAGGAGAAGATCCTAGACTAGGATCAAGGCCAGGAAAAGAAACAGAGCTCATACTGGGGCTGGGGCCAGGACTGAGGTCCAGGCTGAGACCATGCCTGGAGATGGATGGTGTAAGAGGAAGGAAAAGGAATGCGAGGGTGACAACACCGTGGGCAGCACTGACGGACGAAGGCTTGTGTGTGCGTGCCGGGGGGATTCTCAGCTGAACCCTGGCCAGCTAAAACTCACTTGAATCTGACACACAGGGTCTGCTAATACTCAAGTAAAATTAAAGACCAAAGTTAATCAGGCAACCTACCTACCTCCCATTTAGTTTGTTCTTACCTCTTTATTACTGGGTTTTCTTTATGTAGACTATTTTCAAGCATTTTGCATAAATAGCTGAAGCTAAAGTATCTTTTAGTAATTTTTAAAAATGAACAAAAATATCTGTTTATAAAGAACTGACCGAAAGGATTTCTTGTGCATGTTTAAATTCTGCAAACGTAATGAAAATGTCAAATCTTTTTACAAGAAGCTTGAAAGATAAAATGAGAAACAATACTGAAGAAATAGCTGGGAGGCCCGGGGTCCACCCAGCCCCACAGGGCTCCTTAGAAGTAACCACTTTGTCTACAACTGGAGGCAGCACATGCTCCCATGGGCTACTACCACTTTCAGCACCCAAGATACACTGCCTCCTGGAGCCAGTAAGAATTCTATCTTATTTGGTACTGATCAGTTTAGCTAAAAAAAAGAATTCTATCTTGAACACTCATCTATACTCACTTCCAAATTTGGGAACATTTGTAAGTGGAACTCAAAGCAGTAGATCTGGCTTTTAAATAAAAAGTTACATTTAAATCAATCTCTGCTCTTCATAAGCTAAATACCATTTGTCATTTTTCAGCCATCATTTGAGTTTCACCCACGCACCAGCCACAAATTCTGGGCCATGGTGAGGCTGTGGTCAGCCTGGTGTCCGGTCAGCTTGCTAAAGATAACCAGCTAACTTACTGGCTCAGGACTAAAACAAAAAGAACACAACAGAGGAGCCAAAAATATATATTTTTAAAAATTAATGTTAAAAGATGGTGTAAAAAGGCTCATACTTTGAAATAAACTGAAATGTTCCCTGCAAGAGTAACTATGTCAGGATAAAAACAAACACATCTTTATCTTTTATAGAAACTCTTTTTCACTAGTTGCAATACTTTGAAGGGACCTTTGACTTCTCAATGGAAAGAAGCAATGTGAAATGGAAGCTGGGTAGGGAGCTCAGCCACGTGGCTCAGGAAAGACAGCTGTTTACCCCTTTCAAACCAGGAGAGAGGAAGTTTCTTCATCACTTCAGAAAGGATACTGATTTCATTATCTCTCTGTTTTAGAATATCTCGTAGCTTTCTATATTCTTCCTCTTTTAATGCTTCTTGACAGTCTTGGTCTTTGCTTTCAGAGGAGACTGTATTGGAGACTGTATTGTTTCCAAAGATCTTCTTGTCATTCAATAGTTTCTGCAAGATAAAATAAGAGCTTAGTATCCATATCTCTAGTCTGAATTTCTTTTGTTTCTTTGACTCTTTTTCCTTTAACAATTCCCTGCACACATCAGGCATGTGTGACCTGCACGACGCAGGTGTGTTGTCTTTGCGATGCAGTTGCTTTTTTGTCTTGGCATGTTTTCTCCCTTCTACCTGCCTTCTTTCCCTCTTCCTTCCTCATCCCCCTCTCCCCTATCTTATCTCTTCTTCCCTAAATTGGGAAATGCCTGCTCAACATTATCTCCTCTTGGACTCCTTTCCCTTTCTCTATACATCATTCCACTTAATTCACACTTTTATTCTAGTCCTTATCATGCATTATGATTATTCTTCACAACATCTGTCATCTCCATGACTTGCTTATTAAACTTTGCCTTATCTATACCTGGCCCTTAGTAACTCACAGCAAATGTTTATTATCTTAATGAAGTATGAAAAATACAAGCAAGCTAAAAGTAAAAGTGATTATATTCCCAGCTCCTCATCACGAAAATTAAAACCTAAGGCAGAGAAGAACTGAAATATCATGGGTATATCAAATTGCTGAAAAAATGCAGAACGCAATTCTCTTGACATAGCTTGAAAAGAATTTTTTTTAAAAAAAATATGGAACTTACTCTATGTAGAAGGTAGATATTCCTGGCAAAAGAATTAGAAGTCCATGTCCTGAGTTTATTTATTGGCAAGTAAGATACCATCTCTGAAGAAACTCAGTGATAGCCATACTATTGGTTCAAAGGTTATACCATTTTCTGGACATGCAATGCTGGATCCTAACCTTCCAAGAACTGGTCAACTAGAAAAGCTTTTGTGCAGCTTGAACATGGCTGAAAATGGCTTCTATTGGGGAAACATTGAAGTTTACCTTTAAATGATGAAAACAGTGATGAACTTTACGCATATCTGCGCCAACCTCTAATCTACTCTCTGGATCCTGGTCTTCCAAAAAGGATGTTATTAGTTTTTCCAGCCTAAAAATACATAATGTATGAGAAGCAACTGTGAGCTAGAAGTTTTAGAAATTCTAATGGCAGTATCTAGTTGGTTAACATTTAAAGTACAGGATATTGTTCCTACCTCTTTACAGAAGTACAGATTTGACTATACAAATTAAGGGAAAAGAAACATTGACAAAGTGAAATTTGTAGTGAAGCAATTATTTGACTAATTTCCAGTGAATTTTCTTATAAAGCTTTCAATACAGAAATCATTTAACTTCTACGGCCCATCCATTCTAGCCACTCTGAATTTCTATGCCCCTGTGCCTGGCTGCTGCATTGCTAGAAAAAGTAACGAGAATGTGTTTTAAATTAATTTCACTAAAAACTCATGCAACTCAGCCTCAGCTGGCACCTCAGTGATGCCCCACTATCTTTTTAATCATTCCAGGTGATCTTCTGCTCTTCACAGTGCCTATTCCAAATCTTTGTACAGCCCCCACGCCTACCACTACTCTCACTCTCTGTCAATAAAGTCAGTTCTCACCAGATGGAGAAACATACAGACTCCTTTGTTTCCTCGGCCTTCGCCTCGGAGTATTTCTGCCTCACTGCTCAGGCCCTCTTCCTGCTTTTACAGATTCTGGATGATATTCTTCCTCTTTCTCAAGGCCAGTCTCTCCCCTGGGCTCTCTCTCTGCTTCTTCCAGGGCTTATCTTGTTAATTACCTCTTTTCCCTTAATCATCTCTTCATCTCCTCTCTATACCAACTCTTTCCTCTCTGCTTACAATCATCTTGTTTTTCCTATCCTAAAACAAAACAAAATAGAAAACAAAACACCTCCCTTTGGAGAGGCCATCCAACCACTCTATTCTGAAGTCCTAGTTTGGCCGGGTACAGTGGCTCACACTTGTAATCCCAGCACTTTGGGAGGCCTAGGTGGGCGATTACTTGAGGTCAGGAGTTCAAGACCAGCCTGGTCAACAGGGTGAAACCCTGTATCTTCTAAAAACACAAAAACTAGCCAGGCAAAGTGGTGCGTGCCTGTAATCCCATCTACTTAGGAGGCTGAGGCAGGAGAATCACTTGAACCCTGGAGGCAGCGGTTGCAGTGAGCCGAGACCGTGCCACTGCACTCCAGCCTGGGCAAAAGAACAAGACCCTGATTCAAAAAAAAAAAAAAAAAAAAAAAAAAAGTCCTAGTCTATTCATAGCACCGTGTGCCCATGTAGCATTCTAGTACTTTGTATCAGAGGGAAATTCTTGGCTCTTATTTATCTTTGTGCTTCCAGTCCCCCACATTAGGTTCTCAACACAAATATGTTCACGTTACTGAATTCACTGCCGTGGACATGGTTCCCCTCTATATTGAGATGGAACTCTTAATAAGGAAGGTGTAAGGATGACAATCAGTATCTATGATGTTTGGTATCATAATACAGCAGCAGCATATCTTTCTAGGACTATTATGAAAATATTTGCATACTTTCAGCATCTTTTAAAACTGTATATACACATTTCCCTTCTGCTGTTACTATCAGCCCACTCAGATAAAATGTAATGATTTGTATCATAGAGCAGCCTTGGATTTCATTTTTACCTCTTGTAATCTGTGACATGTGACAGCTATATATTTACAAGCATGAGACAATTTATACTGTTACTTTTAAGGAGTTTCTTTAGGTGAAGAGATACTTGTCATTTGCACTATTTGCTGATTGACACTGTGTTTCCTTTTGGATTAGAGCTTCAAACCACCAGATATACAGAGAGATTTATACCTGATACATTTTTTTAAAAATCATGTAAAATATTATGAAAATACATACTTATGAACAAAATTCCAAACAATACAGATGTGAATAAATTAAAAAGTAAAAACTCCTCCCACTCCCCTGCCACCATTCCCCACAACTTTTTTTTTTTTTTAATTTTGATACCTTGGGAAATCCACTGTTAACAGTTGAAATATATTATTCTTATTCTTAATGAAGCAGATACCTATATCTATATATTCATTTATACTTTTTTTGTTTTTACAAAAATGAGATCACATTTTGAATAATGTTTTACAGCATTATATTTCTAAAGAATTTATGGCAGATGAGCTTCCCCATCAGGGCATATGCAGTAGAGGTATTTCATTTCTAATGGCTATGTAATATTCCATACTATGGATTCCTCTCTTGATGGACACTGAGGTGACATACTCATACAGTTGCTACGTTCCTCTGTAACCCATGATGAGGCCTTGATCTACAATTCTGACTTAATGAGGCTTAAAAAATAGTAATGTTTAGCTACTTGTATTTTCCCTGAATACATAGCAGAAATTTTGAAATTTCAAAATTCACTGTGGGTTCTAGAATATACACTCATTCTCTGGAGTGAAAGCACTTTGTAATTTCCAGTGTCCATAAAATTTCTAGCAGACAATATTAAGTTGGAAGTAATGGTTAAGCAGTTCTTTCTTCTTGCTTTTTCTTTAGAAAACAACTTCCGTATAGTTTAATCACAAGTATACATTCTAGGAAACTTTCTCTGAAGGAAGGCTGAAGTGGACTCCTAGCTCAGAAGAAAACCTCATAAGATACAAGCCTGCTGATGAGCTGGACCACTCGTAGATTGCTCACGTGCACTGGGCTTTGGCTATTCCATCAAGATTCCTGTCCCACACAGCAACAGTGTAGGATAATACAAGGAGGATCAGGGACATAATCCAAAGAAATAGGCAAGAACTTCTGCCTAAGTAAAAGGATGGATCCCCTTACTCTTTCTGAGACTCGATTAGTCTAGTACATAACTAAGAATGAAGATCAGCCTTTTGACATACTGTTTTGCTTTCAGCACTTGAGAACACAGAGATAAGAAACATGCCTGGTCTTTCCGTCATACGTTTGATTTACTGTTGGGTTTATTTTCTTATCAAGCAAGGACTTGGTCTAATAATTAAAATGCAGAAAAATGCTTAATTCAGATGTTTTTGTTGTACTCTTCTAGTAGTTGAGAGTGAACAAATGACCCAAAATTCCCCACATTTTCCTATCTACCAAAATAGTTTCCAAGTTTATACCTAGTCTCTGCTCCCTCTGAGGGGTCTCCCAGCTGCCAGAACTCTGTGAACAGCGGAAAACTGTTTACAGAAAAGGCTCACTAAGGAGGTCAAGTGAGTACAATCAAGTCTTTTTTAGGACAAGCCCAAGTCAACAAGAACTTTCCTTATTCTCTACTTACACTAGAAGAAAGAAGAAAAAATAATCCTAAGGGAAAGAGAAAAGAAATGCACACCATTCAGTAACAAGAAATACTGTAATAATTTAAGTGTGTCTGGACACACAACCTCGCTGATGGTAGGTGATGGTTTGATGTTTGGTGACTATACAGATCTCAGCCAAACTGACTGCTAATGAAATACCTCTGACAGCCTGTGTCCTGGTTCAGCGACTCCATCATATTACAAATTTTGATACCTGGCTACATAATCAGAACTGACCACATTTCCTAATATGTGCTTTACCCTCTTGAGGCCACTGCACTCCCCTCTCAGCTCTTCATATTCCTTGCAAAAAAAAAAAAAAAAAAAAAAAGCTCTCTCTGTAGCCATATTTCCATAAAAACTTAGGTCTAATAGTATGAATAAAAACACAAAGCAAGCTTCTCATCATTAATGACAGCCAACACTGAGCATGCACTAAATGCTGGACACTCTTCTGTGCTATTTGCATATATCATTTCCTTAATTTTTACCACAACACTATATGATAACTACTATTATTATCCCCATGTCATAGGTGAGGAAACTGAAGCACAGACATATTACATGGCTTGTCCAAGGTCACACAGCAAGCAAACAGGTAAAATCCAAGTTTTGAAGCACAATACTTACCATACTATAACAAAGTTACTCAATGTATTTGAATACCATATTGAGTGATGTATTTCTAAAAGGGAGAACCCACACCTGCAAGCATTCATTGAGGAGGCAAATAGGTGGACAAAGAAGCGGGAAATAACTGAAAAGCAGTTGCTTAGATCTTAGCATGGCCAAGGACCACCATGACTTGTAACAGCAAAACAAGTTGGGAAGGAATCAAAATGTGCCATATCTGAAGATTAGTTAAATTAATTTTGGCATAGCTATGTACATAGTTAAGCAGCAATTTAAGTGCTGGCGAAGTTGTGTACTTATTGACATTAAAAACACTCATACTATATATGGATAGCTTAATGATGAATCCCTCTGCAGGGATTCTGCAAGTACACTGTAACACATATAAGAAGACTGAAGAGACAAAAAGGAAGGAAAGGCAGGAGGGAAGGGAGAGAGGGAGGGAGGGAAGGGAGCAGATCAGCAGTCCTGAAATTTTTGACCAGCTAGCTGTCTTTGGCTCAAGAACATTCATCATCTCCTCGTGAAAAAAGAGACCAGCGACCCAAGCTAACCTCACTCTTCTTCAATATTTTTATGATTATGTTATGTTTAACTGTTTTTTAAAATAAGTTCATCATTTATACATTGAGTCATTGAGTGTGATTAAGATGTTCTCATGATTCTCAAATAATCTTTGTAAAAAAGAAATTGTGAACATGTTCCTGTCAGCAGTAGGTTCTAGAAATGGGCTAGAAACCATATCTCTATGGCACTGGTTGTGGGAAAGTTGGGAGAAAAGAAGAGCGGGATATTAGAAACAAGAGCAAACCTAACCCAGGGCATGGAAACACTGGCTGTTTCCAAATAACTGGGACAGCAATGGGAGGTGTGCCCTGGGAGTGGGAGGGGAGCCTGGTGCTGTAACTGAGGCAAAGATAACAGAAGCATGCAGCAACACAGTGTTATTCTAGATAATTTACTATCAGCGAGGCTCAGGGGATGAAAAGCAATGGGACTGCATCCTCTGATATAAAGCTGGAAATAGTGAGGGGGAAGAAAAATACCCCAGTTGGTGGGGCAGGGCTTCCCTGTGGTAGAACCATGGAAATTGGTATTTCAGAGCTGATGGTTCTTAGCTCAACTGTCTCCTCACTGGTTTG